TATTGCTGGACACAGGTGAGATGTGGTGGGCTCAAGAGGCACCTGAGAATTCACCTGATTCACTAAGGACCAGTAAATACATCATTAACATAGTGCAGAAAGTTACTTGTCTTCTGCTTGGGTATCTGACGCTGTTGCATCTAACGATGATGTTGAAGATTTGGCATCGGAAAATGTAAAGGATTCCTGAAGAAATAAAAATAAATAAAATTGGATTATTAGTTAAAAAAAAAATTTTTTTGTGGGTGCATGAAGTTCAGCTATGTGCCATACTCATGGAGAGAAGCTTAGGTAGTTTTTATACTGAAGAAAAAAAGAACCAACCCAATCACCTCAAAAGAGAAAATCTCTGACGCTCATATTAGGGCCGCGGAACCTTGCAGAAGTTTGTCCAAGATGGAGAAAGCACATACGAAGGTGAGATTAATAAAGTATGTCCTCCATGCACTGGTATTTCATATCGGAAGGGCTCTTCAATATGTGGAATACGCTTCTGGAGCTTCACTAAACATTTTTGAAGCATTCAACAACATCTCTATGGAATCTATTCTGAGTGGGATCCAGTGAATAGGTGTTTATACAACTGTGTAGCATCTGTAGAGATTATCCGCAACATGGAGTGCTTTCTCCGCTACTATGAAGATTAGTGTTGAATAAATTGCTAAGAAACAATCTTAAGAACGGATAGGTCTCTACAGTTCATTAACGGTATTATGACCACCACTCTGACTACAGTCCAGAATTGGGCATCACAAGTGAATCTACGGTTGACCCTGGAGAAAACGGAAATGCTTGTGTTTATAAAATTCCACTATGAAGGTTTCCTTAACTTTAACTGCTTAAAATTATTTTTTTGCATTAAATATTATCTATTCTTTTAAGCAATTAAATGTTATTGTTTATTTCAAGGCCAAGCAATGACGTTGAACGCCCACTACCAGTTGAATAATAAAACCGTTTGCTTGATTTGCCCCTAATATATTCAAAGGAAGGGTGCAAGTTTTTTATTCAAATGTTTGTATGTATGTATTTAGTGTGCTGCGCTATTAAAATTTCGCTGAGGCAAACACGATGTGACAAGCAAGTCACAACCTACGCACGCAATTAAATCAAAGGCTACGCCCTTGACAACCCACTTGTTATGCCACTAACAAAGTCAACTTTCATATTGCGCCAGCGCAAGCATTTTCTAGCGTATTTGTGGGTGTTTCGTTGGTTTTGGCCAAATTAAAATAATATTGATACAACTTGTCTAACTTTTGGCGCAGCGCAAATGAAAAGAAAAACGAAAATTGAATGCAAAACGCTGATAAATATGTGCGTGGCAAGAAACTTTAACGCCAGACAAATGCAAATATTCAATATGTAACGGTATTAATTTGTGTGTTCAGTAGTAAATTACATGCTAATCGTATTTGTTGTTGGTTGGCGAAATTTCCCCAACAAATTAAAGTTCACTCACTTTGTTTGTGTTCGGTACATTATGTGCATACTTAATGACCAATAATTGCTGAGGGAAAATTGTCAGAAAAATATTTGAAAGCAGCATAAGTGGTTGTTGGAAAATGAATTGTTCGAAATATTGAAAAGATGAACATTTTTTATTTGAATTTTATTGAAAATTTGTCTAAGGAACAAAAGGTGACGGTCATGTAAACACGGTTTCAATTATCCGGGAGCTAAACGTTGCACAAAAAACCCAATCGTAATTATTTGATATCAATAAATGAATGATGTATGCATACCACAAGAGTTTTGAATATTTTTTTAATTCTCTACGAAAATCTGTATTGAAGTTTTCCATGCGATATAATGTTACTCATACGCCATGTGATACTCATAATAAGAGAGTTTAATGTTTTAATAACTATGACAAAACCTACGCAGCTGCATATAATTCAACGCAGCATAATAATACAGTTAACTACTTTTGTTTTAGACGCTATGATCATGAATAGAGAGTCTCATTTTTCAGCGAAGCTCAAATGCCAGACAGCCTACCCACATGAAGTGTAAACTCTTACAAATAAGCAGTTGTGGAAGTAAAATATGCTATTAATATATATAAAATAGATTGTAATAGATTTAAATAAGTATGCAATTAGCAAAAAATACCACAATATTTAAAAAAAAAATATATATTTCCCAACAAATTGTAGTATTTAATTTGCTACTCATACGCCATGTCTGGCATTATATTATAACATTATTCTGCATATATGCTTGTTTATTGATAAGTAGTTGAAAATAATCTTAGTTATATTTGTACCGTGACATAGTTTCTCAGTGAATATAATAACAAGGTATAATGATATGTTTCAGATATCTAAAACAGTTAAATGTACCTTAAATAACGAGGTTTCATCACCACAACTGCGAAAATTTGTTTCCACAGAAACTTAAATGTACATTTACATAAAGCTTTAGATTAATATTTGCAATAATTGCCGCAGGAAAGTATGCATATCTATATAACAAGAAAGTTTTAAATAGAAATATCATATTCATTCCAAGTTACTCATACGCAATGTACTACTTCTTCGTTACATATTTCAACTAGTTTTAGTGTGTTAAACCTAATATAGAAGAAGAAAAAAAAATTTATCACTTTTAGTAACTAACTAAAATTAAATAATATATTTAATTAGTACTAATTTTTAATATAGCTTGCTAACTAATATAACTTTCACTTAATTTGTGTAAATTCAACTACTTATGTCATAAATACACTATTTAATTTAAGTTAAAATATTTATTCTAATTTTTTATATTGACCAAATAACGAAAAAACTCTAATTTTCAAACCAAAATTTCAAATTTGTAAAAAATCACTACGGTCACTATGGTAAATTTGCTCAGAAATTGGAAAAACAGCTGAAAACTATTCAAATTTTTGTTCTTACTTTTTTAATGCTGCTTCTACGAAACAGTAATTAGATGAATTTCTTTCTTTGTTTATCATTTACAAAGGTTTCTGCTCTAGTGTAATTGTATTATTGCAGCCCGCGAAGGCAGAAGCACTCCAATCAGCGATGATACATTGATTAACATCCAATTCTCCAAGCACACACATACAAATAACATTCAATGCTGCTTTCAGTACACTAATCAAAATTTCTTATTAAATGCATTCAAGGTCCAAATTAGTATCCAATTTCTATGCGAGTGCTACAATGCGTATGAGTGATATTTCTTGCATGAGCCGGTGCATATGCAAGCAAGAATTTACTGGTATGAGCAATGTAATCAGTGTAGCTTTCTGTGTACATTTGTAATTGCAACTCTTTCACTTTTCTATATTTACTCAATAATGAATACCGTTATAGCTAAAAAGGAAAATCCAATTTGAAACAGTAAAATCACATATTATCCTTCTGTTGTGGCTCATAGGAAAGGCTTCATTGGCAATAGGCGAATAATAATTTTAGTGCCTCTAACTTCAATAAAAGCAGATTGCAGCGTTTTCATGGAAGCTCTTTTACTAACATAAAATTAATTATTCATTAAATAAAAAATAAACTAATTTAAAT